TTATCAATTAATTAATTCCGATAGGCCTAATTTCGGGGCGTTACATTTCTCTCCCCTTTAAAATAATTTCGTCCTCGAATTTACTTGAGTCATTAATTGAAGAGGTTCGGATATTGTGTTCTCATTGACTCTTCAGTTTCCCATGTTGCTTTTTCAACCGAATGATTCCTCCATAGTACTCTGACTAGAGGTACGGATTTGTTTCTCAATTGTTTTACTTCTCGTGCTAGAATTTGTACAGGTTCCTCCTCATAAGTCAATTGTTCGTCAAGAGTTATGATTCCTTGAGTCAAGATATGTGATGGATCGGAACAGTATCTCTTCAACATCGATACATGGAATACGTCATGGATCTTGTTCAGTTCTAGTGGAAGTTCTAACTGATAGGCTACTGGACCCACACGTTCAGTGATTCGATAGGGTCCAATATATCTCGGACTTAGTTTTCCCTTTCTACCGAACTGTAACACTTTCTTACACGGTGAGACTTTCAGAAACACCTTGTCATCAACATTATATTCGATCTCCCGATGTTTTAAGTCGGCATAAGATTTCTGTCGATCGGAAGCCACCTGCAGTCTTTCTCTGATTAGACGAACCTTCTCTTCAGTTTCACGGACGAGATCAGGTCCTTCAAGCTTTTGCTCGCTTAATTCTGTCCAGCATACTGGGGTTCTACAGCGTCTCCCATACAAGGCTTCGTACGAGGCCATTTGGATACTTGCTTGATAACTGCTGTTATACGCGAACTCCATTAGCAGTAAGTATTGTTCCCAGTTGCTTCCAAAATCAATTACACATGCTCTCATCATATCTTCAAGAATTTGAATTGTCCTTTCAGATTGTCCGTCAGTTTGAGGATGAAATGTCGTACTAAAGTTAAGTTTAGTACCTAAGGCTTTCTGCAAACTCTTCCAGAATTGCGACGTGAATCGCGGGTCACGATCAGAAATGATAGAAAAAGGTACACCATGTAATCTTACGATCTCACGGATGTACAATTCTGCCAATTTCTTCAAAGACATATCACGTCGAATTGGGATAAAATGAGATGACTTGGTTAATCGGTCAACTATTACCCAAACAGCGTCATTCTTCTTGGCTGATAAAGGAAGTCCGATTACGAAGTCCATCGTAATTCGTTCCCACTTCCATTCAGGGATAGTAGGTGGATGTAGTAACCCACTTGGCACTTGGTGTTCAGCCTTAACTTATTGACACGTCAGACATTGTGTTGTAAATTCAGAAATTTCCCGCTTCATTGTGGGCCACCAATAAGTCTTCTTCAGATCTTAGAACATTTTATTACTACCAGGATGCATGGTATAAGTGGTTTTGTGAGATTCACGCATTAAACGTTCCCTCACTTTGCCACTAGGAACTACCAAACGATCCCTGTAGAATAAAATTCCATCATTCACCGTGAAATCTTGTCTCTCCCCCTTAGAGACAAGTTCACAAGTCTTCAAACAGTAATCATCACATTTTTGTGCCGCATGAATTTCGTTCTCAAGAGTAGGTTGAACTCGGAGTTCGGCTATCATCTTTCAGCTCAATGCGTCAGCAACTACGTTAGCCTTGCCAGGGTGATAGTCAATGTAGCAGTCGTAGTCTTTAATCAACTCCAACCATCTTCTCTGTCTCAGGTTCAATTCTTTTTGAGTTAGCAGGTATTTTAGACTTTTTTGGTCTGTGTGAATATATGTCGTCTCTCCAAAGAGATAATGACGCCATATTTTTAGAGCAAATACAACTGCTGCTAACTCAAGATCATGAGTTGGATAATTACATTCGTGAGGCTTTAACTGCCTTGATGCGTATGCCACAACCTTGCCGTCTTGCATGAGTACACATCCCAAGCCATTATGAGATGCATCACTAAATATTGTGTAGTCTACACCTGGCATTGGTTGTGTCAGTACAGGTGCTTCAGTCAGACACTTCTTTAGTTTCTCAAAGCTTTGCTGACAAGCATCGGTCCATACGAATTTCACATCTTTTCTTAGAAGTTTGTTAAGTGGAGTTGCTATCGAGGAAAAGCCTTTAACAAATCGTTGATAGTATCCAGCTAATCCCAGAAAACTTCTCACTTCACGAACATTCCCAAAAACGTAACTTCATCAAGCCAGAATTCACACTTTGACAGTTTGGCATACAGTTTATGTTCTCGTAGTACGCTGAGTACTATCTCCAAATGTTTTGCATGGTCTTCTCGATTCTTCAAATAGACAAGAATATCATCGATGAATACAACCACGAATTGATCAAGATAAGGTCGGAATACACTATTCATGAGATCCATAAATACTGCAGGAGCATTGGTCAAACCAAAGGGCATTACCGTAAACTCATATGTTGGCCTTGAATGCCGTACCCCATAACCGTTTTGATGTGCCAAATAAGTCTTCGAAATGTTACTAACATCATTTGCAGGAAAAACAAACGCCAAAACCTCTATTAGCTTGTTTAGCATCACCGAGATATACTCCTACGAGTTTAGAAATTGTTCTGTAAAGGTAATGATATATTTTAATGAGTTACTTATGCCCTTTCACTCAAAATTTAATTTTAAAATGACAAATATATTCTTAGTTGGGGTTATTTTGAAAACGGAACACGAAAAACGAGTTTTGGAATTTTTACACAGGCCTAACGGTACCTGGCTACCGTATACACGGCACCAGGGTACCGCCGGTAGCGTAGTGAACGTACCGGGTACGTTTCACTCAGGAGGTACACGGTACCCCCCCTACCGTGAGACGGTACTTGGATACCGTACGGTAGGCTGAACCGGCTGGGTACCCCCGTCTTAACAGGTACCGCCAGTAGCGAACCTAACTTTTGGCCTACACGGTACCCCCAAACGGTAGGCTGTACCGTGTGTCACGGTACCTAGGTACCGGACGGTACTGACCCTACCGTGAAGGGTACCGGATCCGTTGGCAGCACTGTAGCAAATTGCCAATTTAAATTTAAATCACCCCTAATCACTCCCTAACGGCATTTAACGTTAAAAACTCAAATTTTAACATTCCAAACTCCTATATAAACCCCCTCTAAGTCTCATTTTTTGTACAACAACTTCTCAATTAAATCTAAAGTCTCTTTCTCTAATTCTTGAGTGTTCTTAAAGCTTTGTTCTTATTTTTCTTACTCCTTTGAGTAAAAAAAAAGCTTTCATCTTTTTATACACTCACACACAAGGGCATTTGTGCTTCATTATTTTTATATCTTGCCTATAGGCTGTTGTTGTTGATTTAATCTTTTGTTCTTCTCCTACCCAATTCATATTTGTTATTATTTTGGTAGAGAAGCAACACCAATCTTTTATTGATTTGTAAAAGGTGTGGATAGCCTTTAAATCCTCAT